TTGAGTATTTTGTTCTTTTTACTTTTATTCTTATTATACACTCATTCCCTTTCTACCTCCTCTATACTTAATAGTGGCGATTCCCTCATTAATACAATTCCTTGACTTTACCTTCTGGAAATAAGCTCTGACTCCTCAGATTCAGTTTCTCCCCTTTTTTTCTGGGTGTTTGTTGTTTGCATTTTTTGGTTTATTTGTTGTTGTTTTTTGGAGTTTTTTCCCCATATACATATTATTTTCTCCTTTTTTCTTCTTTTTCATTTCTCTCTTACCTTTTTTCTTTTCTCAATACCATTTTTGCACTCTTTTCTCTCTGCTAAATTCTCTTTTCTCTGGTGGTCACCTTTATTTGGGGTTAGTGTCGTGAATACATTTGTGTTTTGTTCCCTCTGTGTCGTGTCTTGTCAAGTTGTATTTTGTGCCTTTTGGTCAACAGGGTAGAGAGTGAGCAACATAACCAGACACGCTGAGAGAAGCAAATATAGGGAGACAAAGAAACAGTCCCCATACAAAAGAAAAGGAGGAATCAGTGGGAAAGGAAGTAAACGAAATGGAGGCAAGCAATTTCTCAGACAAATAATTCAGAGCACTGGTCATAAGGACACTGAAAATGATGAAAGACAAATTCAACAACATGTGTAAGAATCAAGAGGAAATGAAAAAGAACCAAGAAGAAATGAAGAAAGACATAGCTGCAATAAGAACACAAGAGAAAGCATGAACAGTACACTAGAAGAAGCTGAGGACCACATCAGTAAGCTAGAAGAAAAGGTAGGGCGGGGGGAAAAAAGCAGAGCAGCAACTGGAAAAAAAACACACATAAAAAGCAGGAGGAGAGACTAAGGGAGCTTTGGGACAACAAAAAACGAAACAACAGCCCCATAATATGGGTGCCAGAAGGAGAGGAAAATGAGCAAGGAATAGAAAACCTGTTTAATGAAATGATAGAAAACTTCCCTGATATTAGGAAGAAAAAATTCACACAAGTCCAAGAAGCTCAGAGAGTCCCAAACAAGGTGAACCAAAAAGACCAACACAAAGACACATCATAATTAAAGTGACAAACACCAATGACAATGTAGGAATCTTAAAGGCTGCCAGAAAGAGACAGAAAGTTACCTACAGGGGATCTACCATGACTATCAACTGATTTCTCAACAAAAACACATCAGGCCAGAAGGGAATGAAATGAAATATACAAAGTGATGCAAAGCAAGGGGCTGAATCCAAGAATATTATACCCAGCAAGGCTATCATTCAAAATGAAGGGGAAATCAGGAGCATCACAGGCAAAAAAAGGCTAAGCGAGTTTATTACCATCAAACCAGCAATGCGAGAAATGCTAAAGGGATTGCTATAGAAATAAGAAATAGGAAGGGAAAACGGAACATAGGTATAAAGAATAAAAATGGCAACAAACAAGTAGCTATCAGTAATAACTTTAAATGTAAATGGATTAAATGCCCCAATCAAAAGAGTGACTAGATAAGAAAACATAACCAATATATCTGCTGTCTACAAGAGACCCACCTCAGAACAAAGAAGTCACACAGACTAATGGTGAGGGGATGGAAAAGGGTTTTTCAGGTGAATGAAATGAAAAAAAAAGCTGGGTTAGCAATACTTATATTTGACAAAATAGACCTCAAAGTGAAGGCCATAACAAGAGATAAGGAAGGCCACTTCAGATAACTAAAGGAAGCAACTCAACAATAAGATATAACTCTGGTAAACATATATGCACCCAATAAAGGAGCACCCAAATACATAAAAAAACTTCTGGATGATATCAAGGGAGAGATCAACAGCAATACAGTCATATAGGGGACTTTAATACCCCACTAACACCACTGGATAAATCCTCTAAACAAAAAATCAGCAAAGAAGCAGTAATCCTAAATGACTCACTAGATCAGATGGAATTAATTGACATCTTAAAACATTCCACTAGAGAGCCACAAAATAGAATTTCTTCTAAAGTGCACATGGATCATTTTCAAAGATAGAACACATACAGGGACCAGGCAAAGTCTCTTCATATTCAAGAATATAGAAATCATATCAAGTATCTTCTCAGGTCACAATGGCATAAAAGTAGAAATCAACTACAATAAAAGCAATGAAAAAATCAAACACTTGGAGGTTAAATAGCATGCTATTAAACAATGATTGGGTTACCAAAGAGATCAAGAAGAAATAAAAAGCATCATGGCAACAAAAAAACAATGAAAAGGCAACAATCAAAAATCTTTGGGACACAGTGAAAGCAGTCTTGAGAGGGAAGTTCATAGCTCTAAAGGCCTACCTCAAAAAACAAGAAAAATGGGTATTATCTAACCCTACAACTCAAAGAGTTAGAAAGAAGGCAACAAGAAAAGCCCAGCATAAGCAGAAGGAAGGAAATAATAAAGATCAGAGCAGAAAAAAACAACATAGAGACAAGTAAACAATACAAAGAGCAACAAAACCAAGAGCTTGTTCTTTGAAAGGATAAACAAGATTGATGAACCTCTAGCCAGGCTCACAAAGAAGTAAAGAGAGAGTACCCAAATAAATAAAATCAGACATGAAAGAGGTGAAGTAACAACTGATCCCACAGAAATACAAACAATTATGAAAAAATACTATGAACAACTCTATTCCAACAAAATGAACAACATAGACAAAATGGGCTTATTCTTAGAAAAATACAAGCTCCCAAAACTCAACCAAGAAGAATCAGAAAACCTCAATAGGCCAATAATTACTGAAGAAATTGAAGAAGTGATCAAAAATCTTCCAGCTAACAAAAGCTCTGATACATAAGGTTTTACACAGGAGTTTTTTTTTTTTAAAAATACAACTTTTAATAAAAAAAACTTTTAAGTTCAAAATGCAGTATTTAGACAAATATTCAAATTTTCTTGAAATACAAAAATGTAAATGTAACATACTACATACAATGTAACATAAACTCATTGAGCTAAAACTGAATGTAGTTGCTTTTACATAACTGGTATTTAGAAGCTCTTTGAATTCTATCCCTCAATGAAAGTTAAGCAGAATTGTCTTTGGCTGTACAGACAGCTCTCTCTTCGTGCCCTCCAACTACATTGTGGGCCTGACAACTTTCCTTCTGGACATTTATGGCGTAGGTGCATCAGGCCCTGCATCCCAGGAAGGAGCACAGTGTGTTTGAAGCCTCTGAAAGGTCAGGAGACTGAAGGCTGGGCTAATCCAGGATCCTCCTCACTAGGTGGACTTGAAAAGAATTTTGTTTGGGGTGTAGGATTCTGCTTCATCATCACTTTCATCAACATTGTTATTCCCCTCCTCCTCTTCTCTCTTCTACTTAAGTATTTTTAGATATATACTGGCTGGTATCTTCTTGGATAATATGTCTGCTAGAAATTGGAAAGTTTCTGATTCTTCTGCAGTATTTAATAAATCATTGTAAGTGCTTTCTTTTCTTTTCCACTGCCATGTCTGTAGGAATAGGTGGCTAGATATTGAACAAAGAGTTCCATAGCATTAACCGTGAGCATGAGTGCTTCCTGTTTGATTCTGGACACCTCAGGTGAGCTCTTCATGATGACCCAGATGCAGGACAGGGGCAGCGACAGGAGGCACTTCTCCTGTCACTTGTCTCTGCCCATGACCACATCCGCCATCTTTCTGCCCCTCTCCTGCAGTGACTACCCCTCTTTTGAAAGAAGAATCTATATAGTATACTAGAGGCCCAGTGCATGAAATTCGTGCATAGGGAGGGGGAGGTGTCCCTCAGCCCATCCTGCATCCTCTCCAATCTGGGACATCCTTCTCACAATCCAGGACTGCTGGCTCCCAACCACTCACCTGCCTGCCTGCCTGATTGCCCCTAACTGCTTCTGCCTGCCAGCCTGATCACCCCTAACCAATCCCCTGCTAGCATGATCGATGCCTAACTGCTCCCCTGCCGGCCTGATTGTCCCTAACTGCCCTCTCCTGCAGGCCTGGTTGCCCCCAACTGCCCTCCGCTGCAGGCCTGGTCCCCGCAACTGTCCTGCCCTGCCGGCCATCTTGTGTGTTTGGAGTGATGGTCAATTTGCATATCACTCTTTTATTTTATTTTTTTTGGTTTTTTTGTTTTTTGTTTTTTGCCCACGCAGTGGGTTTTCTTGTTGTTTTGTTGATGGTTTCTTTTGCTGTGCAGAAGCTTTTTATTTTGATGTAGTCCCATTTGTTCATTTTCTCTTTAGTTTCAACTGCCCTAGGAGCTGTATCAGTGAAGAAATTGCTTTGGCATATGTCTGAGATTTTGTTGCCTTTGGATTCTTCTAGAATTTTTATGGTTTCCTGTCGTACATTTAAGTCCTTTATCCATTTTGAGTTTATTTTTGTGTATGGTGTAAGTTGGTGGTCTAGTTTCATTTTCTTGCATATATCTGTCCAATTTTCCCAACACCATTTATTGAAGAGACTATCTTGGCTCCATTGTATGTTCTTGCCTCCTTTGTCAAATATTAATTGAGCGTATTGGTTGGGGCTGATTTCTGGGCTCTCTATTCTATTCCATTGATCTATATGTCTGTTCTTGTGCCAGTACCAGGCAGTTTTGAGAACAGTGGCTTTGTAATACAGCTTGATATCTGGTATTGAGATCCCACCTACTTTGTTCTTTCTCAGGATTGCTGCAGCTATTCGGGGTCTTTTTTTATTCCAGATGAATTTTTGGAGAGTTCGTTCTAGATCTGTGAAGTATGCCGTTGGTATTTTAATGGGAAGTGCGTTGAATTTATAGATTGCTTTGGGTAGTATGGACATTTTAATGATGTTGATTCTACCAATCCATGAACACGGTATGTTCTTCCATCTGTTTATGTCTTCCTCTATCTCTTTTTTCAATGTCCTGTAGTTTTCTGAGTAGAGGTCTTTTACCTCTTTAGTTAAGTTTATTCCTAGGTATCTTAATTTTTTTGGTGCGATGGTAAATGGGATTGTTTTTATAATCTCTCTTTCTGAAAGTTCACTATTGGTGTATAGAAATGCCTCAGATTTCTTGGGGTTAATTTTGTATCCTGCTACATTGCCAAATTCATGTATTAAGTCTAGTAGTTTTTTGATGGAGTCTCTAGGGTTTTGTATGTATAATATCATGTCGTCTGCAAATAAGGACAGTTTTACTTCCTCTTTTCCAATTTGGATGCCTTTTATTTCTTCTTCTTGTCTAATTGCAATGGCTAATACTTCCAGGACTATGTTGAACAGGTGTGGTGAGAGTGGGCATCCTTGTCTTGTTCCTGTTCTTAGGGGAAATGGTGTTAGTTTTTGTCCATTGAGTATGATGTTGGCTGTGGGCCTGTCATATATGGCTTTTATTATGTTGAGGTATGATCCTTCTATTCCCACCTTGCTGAGAGTTTTTATCAAAAATGGGTGTTGGATTTTGTCGAATGCTTTTTCTGCATCAATTGATATGACCATGTGGTTTTTTTCTTTCAATTTGTTTATGTGATGTATTACGTTTATTGATTTACGGATGTTGTACCATCCTTGCATTCCTGGGATAAATCCTACTTGGTCATGGTGTATGATCTTTCTGATGTACTGCTGGATCCGATTTGCTAAGATTTTGTTGAGGATTTTGGCATCTATGTTCATGAGGGATATTGGCCTGTAATTCTCTTTCATTGTGTTGTCTTTACCTGGTTTTGGTATTAGGGTGATGCTGGCTTCATAGAATGAGCTTGGAAGTGTTCCTTCCTCCTGAATTTTTTGTAGTAGTCTGAGGAGGATAGGTTTTAGTTCTTCCTTGAAAGTTTGGTAAAACTCCCCTGAGAAGCCATCTGGTCCTGGGCTTTTGTTTGCTGGGAGCTTTTTGATGACTGCTTCAATTTCTTCCATAGTTATTGGCCTATTGAGATTTTTAGATTCTTCCTGATTGAGTTTTGGAATGTTGTATTTTCCTAGGAATTTGTCCATTTCCTCCAGGTTGTCTAGTTTGTTGGAGTAGAGCTGTCCATAGTATTGTTTAACAATCATTTGTATTTCTGTGGGGTCTGTTGTTATTTCGCCTCTATCGTTTCTGATTTGGTTTATTTGGGTCCTCTCTCTTTGCTTCTTGGTGAGCCTGGCTAGAGGTTTGTCGATCTTGTTTATCCTTTCAAAGAACCAGCTCTTGGTTTCATTGATTTTCTGTATTGTTTTTTTGGTCTCTATGTCATTTATTTCTGCTCTAATCTTTATTATCTCCTTCCTTCTGCTCACTCTGGGGTTTTCTTGTTGCTCTCTTTCTAATTCTTTGAGTTGTAGAGTTAGATGATTTACTACCATTTTTTCTTGTTTTTTGAGGTAGGCCTGTAGAGCTATAAACTTCCCTCTCAGGACTGCTTTCATTGTGTCCCATAGGTTTTGGATTGTTGTGTTTTCATTGTCATTAGTGTCCAGGATGTTTTTAATTTCTTCTTTGATGTCATTGGTAACCCAATCAATATTTAATAACATGCTATTCAGCTTCCAAGTGTTTGAGTATTTTGGGTTGTTTTTATTGTAGTTTATTTCTAACATTATGCCATCGTGGTCTGAGAAGAAGCTTTTTATGATTTCAATCTTCTTGAATTTGTGGAGACTTTGCTTGTGACCCAATATGTGGTCTATTTTTGAATATGTCCCATGAGCACCTGAGAGGAATGTATATTCCATGGCTTTGGGGTGAAGTGTTCTGAAGATGTCAATTAAGTCCATCTGATCTAGTGAGTCATTTAGGATTGCTGTTTCTTTGCTGATTGTTTGTCTAGCGGGCTTATCCAGTGGTGTCAGTGGTGTATTAAAGTCCCCTACTATGATTGTATTGTTGTCGATCTCTCCTTTGATATCTTCCAGGAGTTTTTTTATGAATTTGGGTGCTCCTGCATTGGGTGCATATATGTTTACCAGGGTTATATCTTCTTGTTGTATTGATCCCTTTAGTATTATGAAGTGGCCTTCCTTATCTCTGGTTATGGCCTTCACTTTGAGATGTATTTTGTCCGATATAAGTATTGCTACCCCAGCTTTCTTTTCCTTTCCATTTGCGTGAAAGATATTTTTCCATCCCTTCACTTTCAGTCTGTGTGAGTCCCTTCTAATGAGGTGGGTCTCTTGTAGACAGCAGATGTATGGGTCATGTTTTTTTATCCATTCAGCCACTCGATGTCTTTTGGTTGGAGCATTTAGTCCGTTTACATTTAAAGTTATTATTGAAAGGTACTTGTTTGTAGCCATTTCTTTTTTTGTGTGTGTGGCTGTTTTCTTTCTGAGCTTGTTATTTCTTCTTTTTACACCAGTCCCTTTAGCATTTCTTGCATGGCTGGCTTGGTGGTGATAAACTCCCTTAGCCTTTTTTTGTCTGTGAAGCTTCTTATTTCCCCTTCAATTTTGAATGATAGCCTTGCTGGATAGAGTATTCTTGGATTCAGTCCTTTGCTTTGCATCACTTTGTAGATTTCTGTCCATTCTTTTCTGGCCTGATGTGTTTCTGTTGAGAAATCATTTGATAATCTAATGGGAGATCCCTTGTATGTAACTTTCCGTCTCTCTCTTGCAGCCTGTAAGATTCTCTCTTTGTCCTGAACATTTGCCATGGTAATTATGATGTGTCTTGGTGTGGGTCTTTTCGGATTCACCTTGTTTGGGACTCTCTGGGCTTGTGTGACTTTTTTCTTCCCCACCTCAGGGAAGTTTTCTGATATTATTTCTTCGAATAGGTTTTCTAATCCATGTTCATCTTTCTGTTGTTCTGGCACCCCTATTATTCGTATGTTGTTTCGTTTCATGTTGTCCCAAAGCTCCCTTAGGCTCTCCTCCTGTCTTTTAATTTTTTTCTCCATTTGCAGTATAGTTTGGGTGTGTTTTGCTTCCTTGTCTTCTAATTCACTAATTCGGTCCTCCGCTTCTCCTAGTCTACTGTTGATACTTTCAATGGAGTTTTTTATGGCAGCTATATCACTCTTCATTTCTTCTTGGGCCTTACTTAAGTTGTTGATTTTTTCATCTGTTTCTTCTAGCTTCTTGCATATGGTATTGAATTTTTCATCTGATTCTTCTAGCTTCTTGCATATGGTATTGATTTTTTCCTCCGACCGGTGCATGTACTCTAGGACCCTTATTCTGAATTCTTTTTCCGTCATGTTGCATGCCTCTGTCTCACTTAGCTGCTTTTCTGGCGAGTCCTCCTTTTCTTTCCTTTGGGGGTTTCTTTGTCTACCCATGTTTGATCTCACTGACATATCTAGTTGTTGAGTCGTTCAGTGGCTGCTCCCTGGGTGGCAGTGGTTCCTCGGGGTGTGGTTGCTCCTTGGGCGGTTGTGGTAGCAGTGGCTCCTCCGTTGATAGCAGGGCCTCTGGTGGGTGCTGTTCACAGCTGTGGTGGCTCTTCTGGCAGGTGGAGGGAGGCTTCACACACAGTAACTGTTCCCCAGACAGAGCGTGTGGAGATCAGGAGGCCGCTGTTGCTTGAATCTGCTGCGTTGATTTAAAGGCACAAAATACAACACAACAAGGCACAACGTACCAGGCACTGAACACGAATGTATTTACGATATCAATAACCCCAAATAAAGGTGGCCACCCGAGCTAAGAGAGTTAGGAGATAAGGAAGAAAGAAGAGAAAAAGGTAGAAGAGAAAAAAGAAAGAAAGAAAAAAGAAAAGAAAAAAAAGGAGTGCAAAAATAAAATTGGAAAAAGGGAGGGGAAAAAAGAAGAGGAAAAAGAAAAAAAAAAGAAAGAGAGAAAGGAGAGTGAAGTATAAGAGGGGAAGAGACTATTTATATGAGGGGAAAACTCCTATAGAACCGCCACTAATACCAACAATTTACAGCAGCAGATTCCTGGAGATGAATACAAACTACAAACAACCAATAATATCAAGCGACGCAAGGGAAAACAGAAGCACAGAAATAACCGGGGGGCGGGGGGAGAAAAATAAAAAGAATAAGCAGACTAACCTCACAAACGATCCTAAAAAAACCCCCAATATACTCGTCAATCGAGCAAACAACAATAAACAATAGAGAGAGAAAAGAAGAAGAAGAAGAAAAAAATTTGGATAGTGAAGGAAGATAAGGGAAAGGTGTATAAGGATTTAGAGCAGGGGATTGGACATAGGGTATATAAGTAGGGTGAAATTTTGACAGGGGGTAAAAAGAATAGGGAAAATCTAAAGCTGGAGTAGGGTAAGAGAAACAGGACAACAAAAGGGAAAAAGTGGGGAAGAGGGTTTAGCACAGAGGCAAATTGAGGTAGAGAAAAATGTTGCTAAAGGAACGATGAAAATAGAATGGAGAACATTAGTCCCAAAATAAAAAAAAAGAGAAAATAAAATGACACTTTAAAAAATGGTAAAATGGTAGCAGTAATAATACTAGTTAAAAATAAAAATGTAGTAATTGAAAGGGTAAAATCAGATGATGGAGAAAAAAAAAGAAAAAAAGAAAAAAAAGAAAAAAAATGTTTTCTTAGTTAAAAGGTGGAAAAGTAATTAAAAAAATAAAAATAAAAATGTGCAGTAATGCAGGTGCTTCAGATCTACTCTTCTTTTTGGCACGCCCGGAATTCAGGAGAATGTTGAATTTCCCTCTGATACACCGTTCCTCCGTGTTGTAAGCCACAGTCCTGATTTTAAGGCAGGCCGTATTGGTTCCCCATACTGCCTTATCTGTATTTACAGAAGAGTCAGTTCATGGCTCTGCCTCTGGTACACAGGAGTTCTACCAAGCATTGAAAGAGGAACTAAAACCTATCCTCCTCAGGCTATTCCAAAAAATTCAAGAGGAAGGCTCACTTCCAAGCTCTTTCTATGAAGCCAAAATTACCCTAATTTCAAAACCAAATAAAGACAGCACAAAAAAAGAGAACTACAGGCCAATATTCTTGGTGAACATAGATGCTAAAATACTCAAAAAAATTTTAGCAAATCAAATTTAGCATTATATTAGAAAGATCATACACCATGACCAAGTGGGATTTATTCTGGGGATCCAAGGATGATACAATATCCAAAAATCAATAAATGTGAAACATCACATAAAGAAATTGAGAGACAAAAGTCAAATAATCATATCAATTAATGCAGAAAAGGCATTTGACAAAATCCAACACCCTTTCTTGATAAAAACTTGCAGCAAAGGGGGAATAGAGGGATGATATCTCAACATAATAAAAGCCTTAAATGACAAACCTACAGCCAACATCATACTCAATGGGCAAAAACTAAAACCATTTCCCCTAATAACAGGAGCAAGACAAGGATGCCCATTTTCACCACTCCTGTTCGATATAGTACTGGCAGTGCTATCCATAGTGATCAAACAAATAGAAGAAATAAAAGGCATTTCCAAATTGGAAAAGAAGAAGTAAAATTGCCCTTATTCGCAGATAACATGATACTGTACATTAAAAAAAAAAAAAACCCAAAGACTCCATCAAAAAACTTCTAGGCCTAATAAATGAGTTCGGCAATGTATCAGGATACAAAACTAACACCAATAAATCTATGGCCTTTTCATACACCAATAATGAACTCACAGAAAGAGAAACAAACAAAAAAAACTATCTATTTACCTTTGCAACAAAAAAATTAATATACCTAGGAATAAACTTAACCAAGGAGGTAAAAGACCTGTACTCGGAAAACTACAGGACATTGAACGAAGAGGTAGAGGGCGACATAAACAAATGGAAGGACATACCATGTTCATGGATTGGTACAATCAACATTATTAAAATTTCTATACTACTCAAAGCATTCGACAGATTCAATGCAATTCCCATTAAAATACCAACAGCATATTTCAAAGATCTAGAACAAACTCTCCAAATATTCATCTGGAATAAAAAAAAAAAAAAAGACCCCAAATAGCCACAGCAATCCTAAGAAAGAGAACAAAGTTGGAGGGATTGCAATACCAGATATCAAGGTATATTACAAAGCCATGGTTCTCAAAACTGCCTGGTACTGGTACAAGAACAGACATATTGACCAATGAAATAGAACAGAGAACCCAGAAATTGACGCAAGCCATTATGCTCAATTAATATTTGACAAAGGAGGCAAGAGCATACAATGGAGTCAAGACTGTCTCTTCAATAAATGGTGTTGGGAAAATTGGACAGATACATGCAGAAAATGAAACTAGACCACCAACTTACACCATACACAAAAATAAACTCAAAATGGTTGAAGGACTTAAATGTAAGATGGGAAAGCATAAAAATCTTAGAAGATTCCATAGTCAGCAAAATAGCAGACATATATTTTAGCAACATCTTTACCGATACAGCTTCTAGTGCAATGGAGACTAAGGAGAAAATAAGCAAATGGGACTACCTCAAAATAAAAAGCTTCTGCACAGCAAAAGAAACCATCAATAAAACATCAAGAAAGCCCACTGCATGGGAGAACATATTTGCCAATGCTATCACAGATGAGCATTTAATCTCCAAAATTTATAGGGAACTTGCAAAACTTAACAAAAGCAAGGTAAACAATGCAATAAAAAAAAATGGGCAAAGGACCTAAATAGACACTTTTCAAAAGAGGATATACAGAAGTCCAAAAGACATACGAAAACATTCCCAAAGTCACTAATCATCCAAGAGATGCAAATCAAAACGACAATGGGGTACCATCTCACACCTGTCAAAGTGGCTATCATCAACAAAACAACAAAGAAGAAGTGCTGGCAAGGATGCAGAGAAAAAGGAACCCTCCTGCACTGCTGATGGGAATGCAGACTGGTGCAGCCACTGTGGAAAACAGTATTGAGTTTCCTCCAAAAGTTAAAAATGGAACTCCCATTTGACCCCGTAATCCCACTTCTAGTAATATATCCAAAGAAACCCAAAATACCAATCAGAAAGGATATATGCACCCCTATGTTAGTAGCAGTACAATTTACAATAGCTAAGATTTGGAAACAGCCTAAGTGCCCATCAGCAGATGAGTGGATTGAAAAACTGTGGTTCTACACAATAATGGAACACTATGCTGCTATAAAAAAGAAGGAACTTTTACCATTTGCAACAGCAAGGATGGAACTGGAGAGCATTATGTTAAGTGAAATAAGCCAGTCAAAGAAAGAAATATCACATGATTCTACTCATATGTGGGATATAATGAACAACATAAACTGATGAACAAATATAGATCCAGAGACAAGGTAACACTGAACAGACCATCCAACCTCAGAGAGAAGGCAGTGGAGGGGTTAGCGGGGGGCGGTTAGAGATCAATCAAAGGACTGTATGTATGCATATTAGCATACCCAATGGACACAGACACTGAGGTGGTGGGAACCTGTCCTGGAGGGTGGGAGCGGCCAGAGGGAGGGTCAAGCAGGGAAAAAGGAGATATATGTAATACTTTAAAAAATAAAATAAAATGGGCAGAAAACCTGAATATAGATTTCTCCAAAGAGGACACACAAATGGCCAAGATACACATGAACAAGGACAGATCCAGAGATGGAAAGGCATCGATCGGACCGTTGGACCTCGGAGGGAAGGTAGGGAAGGGTGGGGAGAAGGGGAAGAGATCAACCAAAGGACTTATATGCAAGCATATAGGCCTAATCAATGGACATGGACAAAAGGGGGGTGATGGCATGAGTGTGGGGGAGAGGGGGTAACGTGGGGATAAGGACACATATGTAATAACTTAATCAATAAAAATATTTTTTAAAAATCAACAAATAACAATTGCTGGTGAGGATGTGGAGAAAAGGGGAGACTAGTTCATTGCTGGTGGGAATGCAGATTGTTGCAGCCACTATGGAAAACAGTATGGAGTTTCCTCAAAAAATTAAAAATGGAACTTCCATTAAACCCAGTGATCCCACTTCTGGGAATATATCCTAAAATCCCCAAAACACCAATCGGAAGGAATATATGCACCCCTATGTTCATAGCAGCATTATTTACAATACTTAAGATCTGGAAACATACCAAATCCCCATCAGTAGGTGAATGGATAAAAAAGCTGAGGGATATTTACACTATGGAATACTATGCAGCTGTAAAAAAGAGGTATCTCTTACCCTTTGGGACAGCATGGATGGACCTGGAAAATATTATGCTATGTGAAATAAGCCAAACTTGAGTATGACAAATATCCCATGATCTCACTTATTTGTGGAATCTAATGAACAAAATCAATTGACCAACAAAATAACACCTGAATCAGGGAGGGATGAAACAGACTGACATACCTTGATATGGGGTTGGGAGGACAAGAAGAAATAAATCAAAGAACGTATATTTATACTAGGAGCCTGGTGCATGAAATTCATGCCTGGGGTGGGGGTGGGGGGTTGTCCCTCAACCTGGCCTACATCCTCTCCAATCTGGGACCCCTCAGGGAATATCCGACTGCCAGTTTAGGCCCAATCCCACCTAAACCAGCAGTCGGATATCCGGACATCCCTCTCACAATCCGGGACTGCTGGCTCCTAACTGCTCACATGTCTGCCTGATCGCCCCTAACCACTCTTCCTGCCAGCCTGCTTGCCCCCAACTGCCCAGCCTGCCGACCAGCTCACCCCCAACTGCTCCCCCGCCGACCTGCTCACCCCCAACTGCCCCCCCCTGCCAGCCTGCTCA